AGGACTCAGGCAACGATGGGAGGATCCGTGTGGTGAGCGGGATTGGCTGTGTTCTGGTCTGGTCGCTGGGGGCAGATTCGAGTAGGCGACCAAGCCGGGTTCACGACGACGAGACCAGACAAGATGTTCCGGTCCGTACGTACCTGGGCAGCAACACTTGGTCAAAGGGTTAGGAGAGCCAGATCTATTCGGTATCCTATTCGCGACTTGTGAGTCGTTGGTTTCGTCGTTCGCGCGATCGTTATCGCTGGTTGGGGGCCCTCTTGACAGGCAAAGATGGTTGATTTGAAGGCGTTGGGTGATTGGTTGTGAAATTGATGGGGAGGGAGAAGATACCTATGACTGGTCGGGGCGAGAAGAGAAAAGAGGGAATTGTCTGAGCTTCACGCTAACGGGGGAAGGGTGGGCCGGGGCGGGGCGGGGAGGGGCAGGGGCGGGGCTTTTGGTGTTTTAGCTGCGGTTAATGAGCTCAGCCAACCACATGCAAGCAAGCAAGCCACTCACTCCCCTACTGTACGGAGTACTTCCCTGTCGTTAACGGACTGAACTGAACTGAACCGTACTGAACTGAACTGAACTGAACTGCCCTGTCCTGGGCTTCGTTTCCTTTTTTTTGGTTTTAAAACAAAAGGTGTGACTGTACGGTAGCTGTAGCTGGTAATCAAATGATACCTGTACTTTGCAGTTAGTGTAGTTAGACACGGAGTACAGGGCAGGTCGTGATGCGGCCAGAACAGGCAACTCTAATCCTCAGTCTGGCCTGATAAGGGCTTGAAGAGGACTTGAAATTGATTGAAAGAAAGGCCAAGAACATCATCAACAAGGAAGTGAGCGGACCCAGTGGAGAATACCTACGGCCAAATGGCAGAACGGCCTCGGAGGAATTGCGGTAGCGAGCGAGGCGATACGTGCACGAGGGTGTGCCATTATCCAATCCTCTACTGCGTATGTGTAGGTAATCTATACTTACTTGTACAGTATGTGTACTCTGTAGATACCTACCTAGTCTTGATTATTGCACGATCGAGCTGTCAGCCAGCGCTGTTGAAGCTCCCTCCCAGTTGTGGGAGACCTGCCTGATTGGGGTCTGAGGCACGCCTACCCGAAGGCCATCACCCATCACCCAGCACCCTAAGCTCAAGCTTTGGAGAAGTCAATCCACCACCTGTCTCTTAGAAATACCGGTACGGCGATCATCACCCGGCAGAGATCATAGAAGCGATGAGATGCGATGCGATGCGATGAGAGGAGATGAAATGCGGCTGCGACGCCTCCGTGGTCCCATGCATGCCCTAGAATGGAAACCTACCTAGATAGATAGGTACGTACGGACGGAGTACAGTGTACCGCAAACCCTGACTGACATGATATTCCGCAAGAGCGGGGCCGGCGGCTGGGGATTTGGGACAGGACAGGACAGAGCAGAGCAGAACAGAAAGAGGCTGGGAGCTGGGCTGATGACGACAACTTACTTCTCCGTGTTGCTGACTGGATGATACATGTCCTTCCCTCCCTTCGCAAGGGATAGAAGATAGAAACAACGGTGAGTTCGAAACATCCCATCCCGAAAGCTTCATCCATCAACGGGAAGAAAAATGGTGGGAAAAGGAAAGGAAGAGCAGGTGAGAGCAGAGCGGTGTACCAGAGCCGGAATTGCATCAACGTCTGAAATTCATTCTACTCTGGGGGCCTGCCTGCCTGCCTGCCTTCCCAAGTCAGCGACTTTCGCTACTTATATCAAGCCCGGCGCACTGTGCTTATTCTCCGTGGAGTTTGAAGTCCTGTTCCGTTGCTATCCCCAGTCTAGCCCAGCCCAGTCCAGCCCAGCCCCCAGGACGCTCTAAGCGAGCTATGCTTTCCAGAATACTCATACTCACCTAGGTATTGTACCTAGGTACGTCTTCAAAAGGGTAATAAACTAGAGGCGGGTCGACAGAATCCTGCGCTACGCACACGAGCTGGTTGATTGATTGAGGCAACTAACATCGCCTAACTGGTGGAGAGTTTCTCTTTCTATCGCCAATCAATAGGTTGAGTGCAAAAAGGGCACGTGCATTTGCCTGGTCTTTACAGTACCGGTATTCTTTGTGCCGTGTTCCCCCGTGTTGGAGTTTCGTGCGCATGCGAGAACTCTGCTGTCGACGGAACCAGACGGACGAGAGGATATGGCTGGATGGGATGGCGACTCTGCCGGGCATCTCTGCACGAGGAGATTATCGAGTGCGGTCTGCAAAGCCAATCTTGACGCCCTCCGGCCTCTCCGACGATAGATGGACATGGCCGGTATCAGCCTGATCTGCCAAAGCCGGTGCAATCTCTAGAAGTCTGGGGTACATACATTCCGCTACGTTTGAGTGGACAGCGGCGACGTCTTGATTCTACAAGGCCAGCTCTCGTTATTACTAACCATTGCATTTCAGTCACCAGCTGCCTTTTCGCCTTTCGGTTCCCAACTTTGCTTGACTTCACAAAGTTTATACCTATTGGCATCAATCTTATCCTCCCGGATCATCCTCCAATCATTCTCACGCTGATATCACGTCTTATGGAACTGGAGGATGATGACCACGGAAAGCCACCCCGAAGTTACGTGGGAAGAGCTGAACTATGACTGCTGTAAAAGCTTGTGACGTTGTTCTCGTCAAGGCCCTGGTCTGCCCCAATCCTCCAGCAAGGGCGAAGATAATCAAATCCTCGGTCATGTTTCTCTATGCCATGATCGTCCTCCTTCCCGCTATGCTTTGCGTTATCAACATTCATTTCCACTCTTGTTTCTTCAGCGTCACGGGACGGGTCGCTGGCGGGCACAACCTTCTTCAAGCTCGCTTCACACCTCATCTCTCTCTCCCGATCCGACCCAAAACAAGCCATAGGCAAGTTATTCCGCTCTGAAATGTACCATCACGAAAACCACCCCCTCGTCAGCATCCACATCGTCGTCACCACCTCTCTCCTCCTGCTCCCACATCGCAAGTCCCAAATCCCCTAGTCTCATATCCCCTGTAACCAATGAGAGCACAGAAGTAGTGCTTCTGGCTTCTCACTCGGCGCCTATTTTCCTATTGATAATTTATAAGCGCTGTGGTGGATGTGATGGTTCGTGCGGATTGTGGATATCGTTTCGTGTGCCTGGCGCTAAATTGTTCCCTTGTCATGTACCTGGGCAAGGAAGTTCTACATGATGCATTGAGATGAGCTGAATATCTCTCGGGGGTTTGTGGTGGGAATGGTTGGGTACGAGGAGGGTAAGAGGCTGAAGCCATGCTTTTATCTTCATGGCCAAGTCCAAGGCCTTGTCAGTGGAGTCTGTACCATTGTCTAGATCCCTCATGCCTGCTCGACAGATAGTTGAGTTCGGCGTGCTGAGTCACGGGATATGAAAGACATGATTACCTATCATGTCTCGGGACTCCTCTGCTCTCAATACAATGACTTCCCGAGCCTTGTAAATGCAAGCCAGGTGCCAAATCACAGACGCCTCTCTCTGATTATTCAGATCGGGTATACATCTCACCATCATTCAGTGATTGAGGATTCAAACCACCCGAGGTATCGATGTGCTCTGCAGCGTACCTCCGCATCCAACTTCGACAGAAGGTTATTTGTATTGCAAATCAATTATATACCGTTGCAGAACCAATCTTCCCAGTTACCAATAGCCGTCAGGATCACCATACTCACTCCGTATATTAGCCTCGCACTTCACTTCCCATATTATATTTCACATATGAGTAAGATTCAGGCTCGAGCACAACTATCCCGTCCTATGCTCTTATCTACTTCCTAAATACTGGCTCGCACATGTCACTCTATGTTGTGACACGTGATCTCAACACAACCCCAGACTCACTGTGCGGGTAGATAGATGACTCTATATACCATCCACAATGAAGTCAACTTAGTCAAGATGTCGTGTCGAGCTTGGAAGCGTTATTTTGTGTGTCCTGAACCTAGGCACAAACACCGTCTGAAAAAGAGGTTGAGTTGAGCCATAGAGAAGCTGTGTGCTTCAGCGATGTTTATTACTTACCGTCTCATATTCGTATCAAGATACCCAAATACGCAAATATCGAGCAGCCGAGAATAAATCATATGGTGATGGGGCAGAGTGGAAGTAGTGAGGAATACGTACATAGCGATATTAGGCCAAGGCTGAATTCAGTGTGCATTTGCTACTAGCTCTACTTCCATCTTTTTCTCAGCCCTCGATAACTTGATCAAACCCACTTGGGAAAACCTTTCGGGCAGAGACGTCTCGGATGAAGAAGCTTCGGTCGAGGAAGCTCCTTATGAAGATACTCTACCCACATATCGAGCAAGCAAAGATGGCATAGGGGAGAGTGGATGTAGTAAAGGATACTTGGATAGCATTTTAGTCCAGCGATAAATTCAGCATGTATCTATTACTAGCTCTACTTCTACGTTATTTCTCCGTCCTTAGTAGTATGATTAGAAGCACTTCATGGAAAGACCTTCGGATAAAGACCGTTTCATGTAAAGATGCTTCTTTCAAAGAGACGGACTATGCTTGTATTGTATTTACATGTTCATTCCGAATCTGCAAGGCAAACACACAGAACTTCCCGATTTGGTTCTGGAATGCTACTAATGTTATAATATAATTTGACAGAGCTGTAACGTCAATTTCAGACGAGTTGAGTGTGTAGTCCAGAATCACCACACCACAACATAATTAATAACCCGAAATATTTCAAAATTCTCTATTAAGCAATACATTTTTCAAACCCGAGAAATAGGAAAAAATCGCAGCTTTATATCACCACTCCCATGTGCTCAGACTCTTTCATGTCCAGTAAGAAAGACAGGGAAATCAAAGATACCGAGCTCCGATCTCGTGCAAATAATAAAGCTCGTAAAGTATTTCCGAAAAGCTTCAACATATCATCCGATTTATCCTTGATATCAACAATCGAAGAGTTCAGAGTCCAGATTAGTGGTTGAAATTAAGGTGACGATCCGCACCCTCTTACCAAGGTCATGCCCGACTGGCATAGTGGTATTGCGTCTCACTCGTATTGATTTGACGCCATGAGAAGATCCTAGGTTCGATTCCTAGGTTGGGCAACCCTTTTTGCATCTGTGAACAATGAATCTCGGAATCTGAGAATGAGTGCCTGCTGTATGTAGTTGATGGTCGTCTGCTCTTGACACCTCGAGTCAGAACTCGGGCTAGCAAGAACAGCACGCTGCTCATTTCTTTGTTTCTTCTGCTTCGTTAACAGTTGCGCATGCACCTTGAGAATAAATCTCCAAACTTGTCCTGCTTTTATTAATAATCAGTTACCTATGTCGTTACTATATAGCGATTGAACCTTGTTAGGTTATAGGAGGTGGAGACAGGAGGACGTTGATTTACTCGAAATTCGAGAGAGTCTATCGACTTTGTGATATCCCACGGATATGTTATTTTCTAAGCCACGATCTACTCATTTGTAAGTTGTAGGAAGATATTACGTCTTTAACAGCTGATGTAAGGTGGTTTCGTACATATATGACGTGAATGCGATCTCTTAAGAGAGTAAGAAGAGAGAAGAAGTAGTCCTCATATACTCTTTTCGATGGATTGATAAATAGCTTGGAGATGCATAATCTGTGGCTTATCACAATTGGAATATGTAGCAAGCTGTATATTAGCATATTATATACTCCAAGACCTTAGAAATATGACATTAATATACTATATAACATGCTGAGTCCTTCAAAAAAGAAGTTCTTCCAAGCTGAATTGTCGTTCGCAAATTGGAGGATGTTATTCCAACAATGCAGATTATAACTATAAATATTGTATAATACCTAAGAAGGCTGCAGCAGCTCGGCAACTGCAAGGCCACGCTTCTTGGCGTGACCTGGAGCTTGTCATCGCTGCCTCGCAAGCTGAGAATCAAAACAAGAACATGCACAGCTCAGCATACACCGACACGATCCCAAATTCCAAGGAGCTACGAGTTATTACAGGCCTCAATGTAGTATACAGCTATTCGAGGCTCACAAGAGTTAACATTTACACCACCCAATGTCTTCCTCCCTGAACGGCACCGGTGGGGGAAGCGCAAGGTCCATATTCCCAAAAGGACCCAGCTTTACTCTCGAGAACTTCTCGAACAAGGATTTCATTGTCAGGGACTTTATTGAGGATTTGTCCGAAAGCGCGGTCCCTGTAAACCGGCGATCTGGACCTGCGCAACAAGCATTCGACTCAAAACCACTGATCAGGACCTTTGAGAGTAAGACCACAGTCAAAACAATTGTGAGGCGCCTGCTAACTCTCGCAGATGCTTTGTCCCAGCTTGCGGGCTTATCAGATGAGTTGGGAGAGAAGGAGACCGACCTTCTCACGTCTGTAAGGCGCGCCGAGATACAACACGACCAGACATTGGAAACATTAGGCAGGAAATTGGACCAGTCTATAGACTCCTTCGAGACTCTCGACTCGTCTCTCAATGGATCCAACGGAGCCAATGGGAATGATAGAAATGGGCGACCAGATGGAGGTGGTAATGTGGCGGTACAAATTGGGGAACGACTCGAGGATCTGGACAAGCAGAGGAGGAAAGCGCTGGACGCAACTTTCTTGATACAATGTTGGCTGGAAGTTAGTGAAATGGGTCAACTCACATCGCTTGAAGAAATGATAAGGAGACAAGGCAGCGGAGAGAATAAAGTGCGATCCGCGATTATTGCTAGGCAGCTTATGAGGATGAGCCAGAGGCTCGACCCGTCATCATGGTCTCAGACGAATGGAGCGAAGAAGACCAATGGAGTTTCCAATGGAGTTGTCGGATCTAGAGGTCATAATACGAGGGAGATCATTGAGAAGTTCTCGGAAACTCTGGAGAAAGATCTGCTGAAGCAATTCGATGACAGCTACCGGAGGCAGAATTTCGACGATATGCTGGAATGTGCTAAGGTTCTTCATGATTTCAATGGTGGTTCGAGTGTGGTTGCACTTTTCGTCAACCAGCATCAATTTTTCATCGACAGGAGTCAACTGATCACTGATGAAGTAACAACTGACAATGAGACTTGGGAAAAGCTTGCGGATCCGGATTCTGACCCGCCAGGGATAGAACCGAGTCTTCAATCCCTGATAGATGAGATCAGGGTGGTTATGCAGGATGAATCGTTCATCATTAAGCGGGCTTTTCCTTACTACGAGGTCGTCCTAACCAAGTTCATCCAGAGGATATTCCAACAATCCATACAACAACGGCTCGAAATGGTCTTAGAGAAGGCAGATACCATATCTTCACTGGCATTTCTACGGTCATTACATGCATCGAGAAGCTACATCAACAATCTGATTGAGGATCTGAAAGCACATGGGTTGACAGAGCATCCTGATGTCTGCTCAGCACAGACGGCGCTCAGCTTGGATCAGCAACTAGACGAGCTCTTCGTCCCATATCTTGTTGGCAACTCCTATATTGATCGCGAGCGGAAAAGCTTAGAGGAGCTGTACTCCTCTCTTCTTTTCAAGTATACTATATATCACTCCCGGAGGAAGAAGGTTCCTACAGGATTCATGGCCTCACTGGCACAGCAGGGTACACAGCTACTCTCATCGGCCAAGGATAGCTACATCAACCGTCTCGATTCGTCTGAATTGACCCCAACTCAGAAGGCAATGATGTTGCGGGTTGCTGGACTTCGCGACACGGACAAGAACAAGAACGAAATCGAAGTCACAGACGAAGATGGAGTTCTGAGCATCCCGAATGCCAAGAGGATGCTAAAGTGGTTAGCCGAGGGCGTCCGCAGAGCTCTAGAGCTGGGTAGTGGCAGTGATACTCCTAAGGATGTGTCGGCATTACTGAATCTTCTCTTGACAAGTATGGGCCAAGTTTATATCGAGACCACTCTCGATGCTGCTGCCGATCAAGCAACCGCACAAGAATCGGCAAAAACCGAGCCCGATCTGGCCTATCTCCCTTCACTACAGCCCGCAATAACGATCACAAATATCATGTCACGGTTCATCAACACTGTTCTAATACGACTTGCGGAATCGAACACCACGGTACGGCGCAGTATGGAGAACCAAACCAAAGCAGGGGTAGAGGGAATCGAATCTAAGACCAACAATATAATGCGAAGTACAATCACTGTAGTTTTGAACTGGGTCACCAAATTACTCGCATCCCAAAAGAAAGTGGATTTTAGACCAAAAGATAGCGACCTTGACGGAGGAAGGTATCTGGAGATGTTGCAATCGGCAACATGCCAGTCGATATGCACTTTTCTCAGCCGGGTCGCCACCCTCGCCGCGCAAGCCATCGATGGAGTGAATCTAGAAGTATTCAGCTGCGAGCTCGCATTGAGTGTACGAGATTTACTATTCGAACATTTCAAGAAGTTTCAGGTCAACGCCACAGGAGCGCTAATGGTTACGAAAGACATTTCAAAATACGTCTCGACATTGAAAGATTGGCCTCTGACTAAAGACAGCGAAGGAAGCGTCGAGGTACTGAGCGAAATTGGAAATCTGTTCATTATTGGGCCTGAGGCTCTTCGTGAACGGTCGAGAACTTTCGCATCGGGTGGTGCATCGAAGAAGTTGCAGAAGGCTGATTTCAGGGCTTTTATATTGAAGCGGGATGATTCAGGAACTGTGGGAGTTCAGAGCGTGCTTGCTGGACAATGATACCATTTTTGGAGTCACATGTTGAGGCGTTTGGGAAGCTAGGAGTGTATGATTCTGTCAAAAGCGACACAAAACTACAATGAGCGATGTATAGTTGAAATGGAGCATCTTCGGACTGTAGATTGCTTTTTGTACAATTCTTAAGTTCCTGCTTCTGAAGCCTCGAGTTCTAGAATAACATTGCACAGAAATTTCATCCCCTTTCTTTCTTTTGAGTTGTGATTTTGGTATACCAGTTCCATTAAATGTACACCATTTCCCATGCGCCCCAGCAATGCGAGTCCCTGATTTTCCTATAATATACAAACCCAACCCAGTTCCAGAACCCTGCATACAATCTTCGATCTCTCAAGGAAGGTTGAAGCCAAAACCTGCCATACAACTCTTGTATTTATCAATCGTAGTCGCGCAGTCTTTCTGAGGATCCTTCGCATTACTAAACAGCATACACTCGTCGCGCGTCGCCTTCTCGTCTTTACAAACACAGCACGGCTATTATTCACATCAGAAAACTATTACGAAGTCCAATTGACGATGTGGCGGCGTACCTTGGGCTTTGCGGCGTCGGAAGAGCTCTTGAGATCTGCTCCTAGGTTTCCGCTGGTGGCGGTTGAAGCTGTAAGTGATCTGTTAGCTGAGGCATATTGTAAGAAATTGGAAGGCGAACGTACGCATTGAGATTGCGTTGGATGCCATTTTGTGGGATTGGTCTGCGGCTTGGAGACTTTGGTAGTAGTACATGAAGAGATGTTTGGTGTAGAAGATGGTATTCTGGCGAGTTTGTAACATGTAAGTGAACCCAAATCATCATAATCAATTAAGCACGGGGCGGCCGCATCGGCCTTTCATTGCCACGGCGGCCCGAGCATTAAGCGGGCTGGCTGGCTTGCTTGTGCTTTTTAGCTTTATTGATATCAATCCCACCTCCCAAACCCCGCCGAGCAACAACAACTTCTTTGCTGGCAGCTGCTGAGAGACAATAAACATTACATAAATTCGCGATAGGTTTCTCAGAACACACTGACAGTATGGCAATGAATACAAAGCTTTTCTCGCTCGAAGGAAAGGGTCTAAAGCTTGATTCTGCAGCGGATGTCGAGGCGCACATTAAGGCTTTGAGAGCGAATGATATCGAGGAGATTCGACTTCAAGGCAACACTTTGGGTGTAGAGGCTTGCAAAGTTCTGGGGGAAGTTTTGCAGACGAAGAAGAACCTACAGGTGAAGTCCTTCATATCTTGAAAGTATTTAGGTATATTTGCTGATACTGTCTTAGATTGCCAACCTGGCAGATATATTCACTGGGCGCCTGCTCAACGAGATCCCTCAAGCCCTCTCTTCCCTCCTCGAGGCACTACTCACCCTTCCAAAACTACACACCATCAACCTGAACGATAACGCCTTCGGTCTTAACACCCAGGCTC